GGAATGGCTGAGATCATATTTGATAAAAAGAAATCAATATGTGGAGATTAATGGTCTCAATGCAAATAAAGAGGAAGTAACTTATAAGTCGCGGCTAAAGATAAAAAAACTTGGGGTTCCACAGGGAAGCATTCTGGGTCCCTTACTATTTCTACTGTATATAAATGACTTGCCTGAGGTCACGAGACATCAGTGTTCACTCTTCGCTGATGACATTGCTTTGGTTGTACCATGCAGGGACAAATTGACATATAATAATGAAATCAATTCTGCGATTGCTGACATAATAAAATGGCTCCATTGTAATAATTTGAAAGTTAACATGTCAAAAACTAAATATTTACAATTTCATAATCAAGGTGGTAAAAAGCAGATGCTTAATCTGACATTCAATAATATAACAATTGATGAAACAAATGAAACAACTTTCTTAGGCATTACATTAGACAACTGTTGCACATGGAAACCACATATAGAACAATTATGTACGAAACTAAACCGTTTCAAATATGTTCTATGGCGTTTGAGTAAAATCAGCAACATACAGACAACACTAAAAGCATATCATGGATATATTTCATCAAATTTAAGGTATGGAATTTTGCTATGGGGTAACTCAACAATGGTGAATAGGTTATTTTTAGCGCAGAAGCAGTGTATAAGAGGAATCTGTAATGTACCACCACTTACCAGCTGTAAACCTCTTTTTAAAAAACTTGGCTTATTAACTCTTTGCGGCATCTATTTATATGAAGTTTGCATTTTTGTCAAAAGCAATATACATTTATTTAAACAGCGACAAGAAAATTGCTTATTTAATGCGAGATATCCTGATCGACTGTTGTTGCCTGATAGTCAAACGGTTATTTGCTCCAAAAACTCATACTTTATGTGTGTAAAAATCTATAATCATTTGCCTCATATCATAAAAAAATTAACATTTAACTTGTTTAAAAATAAATTACATGCCTGGCTTGTCGACAAATGTTTTTATTGTATTGGCGAATATTTTATGAGTCATAATTAATTATTATTTATTTTAATACAATAATTATTAGTGAATAAATTTGTCAATTTAAATAATGAAAATGAAATTGTTGCCTAAAATAATATGCGTTGTATAGTGCCTACTTAATATATTTTTTTTTCTTTTTCTTGACATATTATTGTATCTGTTATTTATAATTTATTTTTTGTTTGTTTTTTAATACAAATTATTATGCAATTATTTATTAAGGCTATATGAATCAATTCAAATCGTAAAATGAAGTTGTTGACTTAGATGAAATTAAGGTATATTGTACATACTGAAGATGAGATGTGACGTTATGTGATTTTCTTTTGACGTTTTATTTTATCAATGTATTAGATTTCATATTTTGCAGATAAGTATTTTACATAGACTAAGAGATATGCTCTAAGTACAAAAAAGTCATAACATAAAATTATAAATCTATATTTCAATTAATTTTTGCATGCTGGAAACGGCTAATTGTGCGATCTGACCTAATCATTCAAAAACATCATTGTAACCACAGTTAATGCAAATAAATTTCATTTCATTTTCATTTCATTTCATTTCAATAATATGCTTTGGAGGCTGAAGGCTGACAAAGGTGACCTAGTTTCTTGCGCTGTTTGTTCTCAATACTGGCCCATTTATCGTCCCAAAGCAGTGGTAGGGATAAAGCCATTGCCCAGGGGGCCATTCGCCTAATGGAAATGCTTTGGAAAACGCTAACGCTTACGATTTCATTTTGTTATTTCTAGCCGCCTGAGGTTTTCAAATGCCTCGCGCTCTTTTTTTTCTTTTGCATTGGTAATAACAATATTAAAAAAAATGAGCGTGAGGTATTTGAAAACCTTCGGCGGTCAGACATAACAAAATAAAATCGAAAGCGTTAGCGTTTTCCAAAGCATTTCCGTTAGGTGAATGGTCCCCAGGGCGGCAGAAGCTATACATAGGCATTCGTTGCTGACCTATAATTTGATTTGATTTACTTATCCTAGGGGAAAATCTAAAGCGGCCCGGGTCGCCAGATTTGTAAAAACGCCCTTGCAAACTAGACACCGTTATAAACCTTAGATTAAAACAAAAAGGGAAGATACGGTACGCTCACAATAGGATCAAATAAAATATGATCCGACTCAACTACATAAGCAATTCTCACACACGCACACGTCTGTAGGTAAATAAACATTCAATCGAGCGAGTGAGACAAAACTGTACGCTTCAACAAAGCGCGGGCGAAGCAAAAAATATGACACAGTAAGACAAATAGACTTTAACATATAGAAAAAAATAATAAAAAAAAAACGAGCGAGCCTTACAGTAGTCGCGTATGATGTGTAACATTTGAAACCTCACCTTATATTAGTAAAAAAAGAAATAAAACCTACTACAAACGGAATAAGACATGTGAACATTATGTTCTAAAATCAAATCAAATAGCACGCGCTTTTGCGACTTCCTGTTACACACTTCCGTCCCATTTCACGAAATCACTCCCACAAATTGCAGGAAAGCGAGAGGAAAGATGTTACACATCACACACACACAATAGGGAAGATATCAAAAAGTATTGGACACGTATTTTTTCTTTTTTCACATAATATAAACATTGCAGAGATATATTGATTTGAAAAGTCGCATGACGTCACGTTTGAGTACACTTATAAGTGAAAATTCACTCAAAAGTGACGTCACGAGCCCCTACTCCCAAACTTTGACGCGCTATAACTTTGTCATTTTTTGGTTGATTGCCCAAAGAAAAAATACGTGTCCATTATTTTTTGATCATCTAACTGACGGACTAAATAGAATTTCGTTTACTGTACCCCGTCATCACCCCTATTACTTTACTTTATATAAGTCAAATAATGAAACAAAACAAAATTATAAAAAATATATCGCAGTACACACACCAATTATCATTTACAGAAAATCGCTTCGCCGTAGCTTCACTAATTGAAAAGATCAGTATCCAAATCTGCCCGTATTACAAGAATACTAACAAATTGAAATTACTCGCATCGCACGCCATAGAAATGAGCTCTGCCGAAAGTTTGATGAAGCCGGAGACAAATATCAAATCTTTTTCATGAAATAAATCAACTCCCTTTTTGAAGTTTACTTCTTTAGGCGCGTTATGAAAAAATGAAGAGTGAAATTTTAAGATGCGCGCGCATCACTGTAACACAAAATTTTAACAGCATGAAGTTGGTCGCTTTAGCGACCAACTTCATGCGTTACTTTTGTGTTTACCGCACATTAAGAAAATCTACCAACAAAATAGAAATAGAATCTCTATTTAGTGTGTGCTAACGACTGCATTGTGAAGGCCTATCAAAAGTATTTATTAATCTGGAACAACGGAACCAAAGCGCGATTCAGGAGACTACAGCGCCATCTCTTAACCATTGGTGTAGTAGAACCAAAAACCACATCTTTATTTTTTGTAATAAAGTAACAGTTATAGGATTCATATTTATAATATTTATCCACATGTTTCTAGTTTGTATATTCGGAATACGTGTTTGAGTTTCATACAAGTGCAAATCACATATGTTCTAATAAATTATATTCAGTAGCGATTTTAATTGAATATTTTGATTATTTATTAATTTATTGTAATTAATTAATTAAAAACTAATTTTAAACGATGCTAAAGAAGGATGACTTCTCACGCGCCTACATAAGTACACGCACCCATTTTTTTTCTATAGTTTTTTATTTTTATTTATCAAAGTTATTACCCATGCAATCAATGCATTATTTGCCAATGTAATGATAGCTTAATGATGCCCTTTTTGAAAAAGTCTACTGGACGGGAGGCAACAAATTCTTCAATGGCATTTTGGACTGCCTCTCGTTTATCGATTTTTACCCGCTAAGTAGTTATACAAATTCTGGAGAAAGTAGAAGTCTGTAGTGGCAAGGTTAGGTGAGTATGGTGGAAGAAGGAGAAGTTATAACTGCAGACCGTCTGCTGTGCAGTATGAGGTCGCGCGTTGTCGTGCAGGACCAGCGGAGCCGAACGATTAACCAAAGCTGGTTGGAGATGTCCGAGCTTCTCCATCATTGTGTTCAGTTGTCCACAATACACATCTGCAGTAATGCCCATCCCGTTTGGTAAGAAGCTGTGATGAATGACGCCAATGCTAGACCACCAAACAGTGACCTTAACTGCGGGCATTGTTTAGTTGCTGAATGTTGTGGAGTTTTTTTCGCTCGTTTTTCTCCGCAGTAAAAAATATGTCCATAACAAGTGGTAGGGAAAAAAAATTTTTGGACGATTCAAAAGAGTTGTACTATACATCCAATTTGAATAAAGATATATTGATTTCTGATTTCTGATTTCTGAGGATCTAACCAACTCGTTAAGCGCTTGCGATTGTCGAACAGAATCCATTTTTTGGCACAAGTAACAATGCAAGTCAACTGACAAACAGACCTCGGCAAGGAGTTCCACTCCCCAGCTGTTCGCATAATGATAGCGGAAGCAAATCGCTTCGTGCGAATGGGAGGAACTTCGACAACATAAGGGTGAAAGCCCTCGCCGCGCCTGGTCGTCCGGTGGTGGAAAGGAGAAGGGAGATTAACTCTTCAGCTTTTTAATGTAACTAGCGGCCCGCCCTCGCTTCGCTTCGCTGTAGAGCTGAAGTGTAGACTACAGTTTTTGTTCTCAGGTTTGTTATTATACACAATGACATTCATCTTTGATTCTTCTTATACCTGCATGCAGAGTCTCAGCCCGATCGGTTTAAAATTGACAAAGTTTCATACAAACTTTCATTCCCTATTTTATCCCCTTGGGGGTAGAATTGATCAAAATCCTTTCTTAGCGGATGCCTACGTCATAAGATCTACCTGCATGCCAAATTTCAGCCCGATCCGTCCAGTGGTTTGGGCTGTGCGTTGATAGATCACTATGTCAGTCAGTCAGTCACCTTTTAGTTTTATATATATAGATATAATATAAGTACTTATATATTTGTACCTGGCAGGCGTCGTTGCCCTCCTCCCCGCCGGCGCAGAAGGAGCTGGCAGGCAGGATGAATATCTTCTCGGTGACGGCGTTCACTTTGCGGATGCACTCAGCGTCACTCACTATAGGTAGTTCGGCCTCGCGCACGCGCAGCGGTATCGGGCCGGCTAGTGGACAAATATGATTTGATTAATAAAAAAAAAAGTGTGCACGGACCACACATATAAAGTGAAACTTCTTTTATTAAATAACCTAACTTTAGTCGGTGCATAAGGCTTAGTAGAATGGAGCAACGCACGCATCACTCATAAGTAAAAGCCATTTAAATTATATTTTATTAAGTTTGCATTCCTAGTCGATGCACTCTAAACTGCTGACACAGTTGACCCACTAATTGTTTTAAGAGCAATATTTTACATTATATGTCAGCGCAATAAAGACATTCACTTCATATTGACGTCTTTTATTTTTTTTTATTTGAAGTCCATTACTGTGTTTTGATTCGGGACAGCCGTATGAGGCTAAGATGATGATGGCGTAGCTAAGGTTACTCACTTTCCCCCATGTATCCGTATCCGGTGACGGTGCACCGCTTGCCCGCTGCATGACTCACTCCTCGTGCCGGCAGGCATACCAGACATACGCCTGCAAGCAAAACTCATCATTGACACAAAATTCTGACAATTAATGAAACAGTTTTTCCTCATAGTATAAGAGGATAAGAGCATTGTCCTAGTTTTCCTGCGGATGTGGCTCAAATCAATGTATATATATATATTTTTCATTAGGCCAGTTATGGGTAAATGTAAGACTCTTCGTTCGCTCTGTATCTTCTATCGCATTTATCACGGAGAGTGTTCTGAGGAATTGTTCGGATTAATTCCAGCTGCTGCATTTCCCCATCGTACATCGCGACAAAAATTTCATCCCCATCATCTTGATGCGTGGCTATCCACAACCGTGCGTTTTTGTCGAAATTTTTTACCACGTACGACAAAACTGTGGAATATATTGTCGCCAGCAGTGTTTCCGGACCAATACGACCCAAAAACCTTCAAAAAAAGAGCGTACTCCTTCCTTAAAGGCCGGCACCGCATTTGTGATACTCCTGGTGTTGCAAGTGTCCATGGGTGACGGTGATCACTTACCATCAGGTGAGCCGTCTGCTCGTATGCCACCTATAACATAAAAAAAAAACAAAAAAAAAACCAACACCTCCGTGCTTTGGACAGAACCTTTGGAGTTAGTCCCTGCTGCATCTGCAGTCATTAGCACTCAAGAATCCATACTGAGTTTGTATGGGGAGTTATAATAGTTCATATCCCTGCCATTGGGTGGCATGAGGCTTTGCAGGACATTAATAAGCTGATGATAAAATAACCTGCTATCCTTTAACTCCTCAAACCATTGCGTTTATCTCTATGAGCTAGTAGTAATCAAGAATGGTGACTAACTTAGAATACGCACCGACAGTAAACGCCTTTTGAGTTTCGTCTCTAAAGCCACGATAACACGGGCCGAGTTTAAAACCTACAAGCCAGCGAATTCTCTAGCAGCTTAGAAACTCGACCTGTGTCATCGGCTTTTTTACCATCTGCTTCTCAATGATATGGGGCGATTTTACAAGCTACTAGCGAACTCGCTGGCTTGTAGCTTTTCACGCCCGATCAACTGTGCTTGTTGTACAAAACGCAACTGCGGTCCTGCGTGGAATATTGCTCGCACCTCTGGGATGGCTCCGCTAAGTACTTACTCGATGCCTTAGATAGGTTGCAGCGGCGCGCTGCCCGCATCATTGGCGATGAAGAGGTAACTAAGAAACTCGAGTCTCTACAATTACGCCGTGATGTGGCATCATTAAGCGCATTCTACCGACTATACCACGGCGAGTGTTCTGAGGAGCTATTCTCGCTTATCCCTCCATCACCTTTTCTTCAGAGGACCACGCGCGCTGGCCTACGTTGCCACCGACTTACTGTGGCCACTATTCCTACACGAACAAAGAAATTTGGCGACTCATTTCTTTTTCGTACTATTCGTAAGTGGAATTCTATGCCCGCGCACGTGTTCCCTCCTTCCTATAATCTGGGGTCCTTTAAGAGAGGCGTGAAGAAGCATTTTTGCGGGCTGGCAAGGTGAGGATGGTTGGTGTAACAGTTTATAACTGCTGTACCAGCTATCTTCGCGTTTGGACTTTATCACCACTTAACATCAGGTGGGGTAGAGTCATTTGCCTACCTAATCATATAAAAAAAAAAAAGTCGTCCTGTGTCGTCGAGGCTAAACGATTATGATAAAAAAAGCAGATGCAGGTAAACTGTTCTTAGTCGTCTTACATTGGGCTGTGGAACATTAATAATGTTGGGTTTTTTTTTCCAACACACATCAATTAGCCTAGCCCCAAAGTAAGCACTATACTTGTGTTATGGGATACTAGGGTAACGGATAGAATACATATACTGTACATATATAAGTATATTTATATAGAAAATACATATTAAACATCCATGACTGGAGTACAAATGCTCGTATTTATCACACAAACATCTGCCCCCACCGGGATTTGAACCCAGGACCTCTCGAGTCGGCGACACCATGAAACCCGGCGTACAAACCACTCGGCCACGGAGGTCGTCGATTAAATTCCTCCTCCTGTATGATGGGAGATGCTGTGTACTGATACAACATCTCCTATTTGTATTTGCTTAAGCTCCGCCTTGTCGAGCAGCTTGAGTCGCGCGATGTCACTGTCGAGCGTCTGGTTGTTGTGGTTGTGATGTATGTAGGTAATGGCCGATTAATGTAGTTATTATCCGTAGGTATATATTAAGCCGGCAGGAGCTGGATGCGAGTAGCCCAAGATCGATCTGAGTGGCGTACATTTGGAGAGGCCTATGTCCAGCAGTGGACTAAGATAGGCTGTTGATGATTGAAGATATACTATGATATAAACCAACCTTCCTTCAGCTCCGCCTTGCCGAGCAGCTTGAGTAGCGCGATGTCGTTGTCGAGGGTCTGGCTGTTGTGGTTGTGGTGTATGTAGGTGGTGGCCACGCGTAACGTCTGCGCGCCCGGTGACCCGTACTTTCGGGTCAGATCGTGGTCTCCGACGCGGACGAATATCGGCTCCCCGGACCGGACGATGCTGCATAAACATGAGACATATAAATCAATATCAAACTAAGAACCGTTTTCAGTCAGATATCATATCATATCAATTGCATATTTTTCCGTTCTTCGTTTTCATAATAACTACATATATTAACTAGATAAAACCCAGAGGAACTCAATGGTGCAGCGCCCGCCCTCCACGACAAAGGCTAACTAGAGCCAAGGTCAGAGTCTCAGAGAGTCTCTAGTTGAGCCGATCCCCTCAGGTTCGAGTGGTCTAGAGGCTCCAGACGGAGAGGAGACTCCCGCCGTGGGGAGATGCCATCCGCCTGGAATACCTCTGAAAGAGCTCGCCAATTCTCGGCTTGAGGTTCCCTTAGGATTTCACCGTCCCCAAACCCGGTGACGCTGTAAAGGTCATATGCGACCAACACATCAGTAAGTGCAGCGCGTTTAGTCTGTGAGCGTGAGAGTTAAACGGCTTTTACAATGATAGGTCATTGATTTGAGATTGGTTGACCATTTTATTATATCGAGTTCTTTCGTGCTTTGAACGGCACGCTGAAATGATGGTCCCAGCTACATTTGCAATCGTAAGCACCAATCGATCCGCACTGCGGCTTCGTAGTGAGTGTGGATCATGCACATGACCCCATTACATCCTCAGGGAAGACCTGTACCTTGGCAGTTGGGACATTAAGATGAACACATCACACGATTGTTAATAACAAAATTCAGGATTTAGAAACTCACATTCAATGTTACAACGAAGTAATTGATATCACAAGAATAAAGTTATATGGTTAATTTAAATGATAATCCGATATGTAAAGATTAACTTCAGAATGATTCAGTATATTAACTTGATCTAGGGCTGCCATCTCTAAAATATGGTAAACGGGGTAAGACGCGTGATAACCCCGGATTTTGGAGCCCAGAACCCGGACAGACCAATAAAAAAATAGTTAAAAATGTCACAAATCAACTTTTTTATCTTGATCTAGGCAAAAGAGTTAGCGGTCTACCTCATAATAAGGGGTCTCTGCTGCCCATGGACACTTGCAGCAACAAGGGCCACTCATGCGTTGCCGTAAATTTTTAAACCCGGACTACAAATAAAACCCCGCCCGGACGCTCCCCGGACGCCCCGTAAACTAGGACAAATCCGGGGAAACCCGGACGGACGGCAGCCCTAACTTGATCATACAATCTATTACTACCTACCTATATTTTGTAAATCAATCACATTTTAGTCCTTCCAGTCGTATTGTAATATATTCTTAGTGATGGGGGGAAGGCATGAAAATAGTTTAGTTTAAATAAGTACTCACTTAGTGACGCAGTGCGCGGCGGTGAGTACCCACTGTGTACCGATGAGTGCAGCACCACACAGGTACTGGTTGAGCGAGTTGATGAGCGCCACCTGCCAGCACCACTCCCCTCGGGCTCCGTCGGCGCCTCCCATCACGCGGCCCACGCGGCCCGGGGCTCCGTCAGCACCGCCTATCATACGGGCGACGCGGCCAGACTCGCCGGGTAACGCGAGTACCCCGCTCTCTGTGTCCTGGTCGCCTGTACCCGCACCGGATACAGTGCCTGATGACCACACATAGCTTGTACTATTCTCTTAACACTATTTCTTAACATTCCATCAGTCATAGCCCACTTCAAGAATTCAAAAATATTTCGTGGAGTTTATGGCATGATTTTGGTTGACCATGTAAAATGCATTATTAAAGATCAGGAAAATTACCGCACATTAAATTTTGTTAAACACCGTTCTAGATATTAAATTAAGCTCAATTAAAGTTTAAGTTAGCGATTATTACTATGCAGAGGTGGTTTAAAATAACAATTCTCACAAGATAAGTAGGGATAAAAATTAGTTGCAGCGTCATGTGGTAATTGTTTCGAATATATTTATATACTTAAGTATTTTAGTACTTACCTTTCACACCGCATACGTATTTGTTGTATTTTTCGGGAATCTTCAATGTTGATCCGTAGCTGGGCTCATAGATAGCTGTGAAGAAAAATAAATCTTTTAATATCTCGCAAGGTTCTATTTCGGGACCTATTTTATTTATAGTTACACTTTGTTCGAAACTTCATCCTCGTGAACTAAGATTTCAAACACATCTAGAGAACATTTTATGGTGTTGAAAAATGACAGGAAATCTTCTCGTGGACCAATAAGACTTTTGGTTAGTTTTTCTATGAGTTGCTGAAAAGCGCGCCCCTCACCATCTGCTATTGTAGTTGTAGCTACGTATAAATATATACCGTTATAAATAAATATGGACGTAAGAACTTTGACTTTTTATAGAATAAGGGTAAGAATTTATAGTTACCTGAGAAACTTTACTGGCTAATTCAGACTACGATACAAATATATTTTTTCCAAAAATTGTTCCACGTTATCTCACTAATTGTGCAATTATGAAACCTTAATAATTTTTATTATCTATTTTTAAGATCTACGTACTTAAAAACTTTAAGATATTTTGTAGTGCGTCTATTGTTGAAAAACTGTGTTCAATAGTTTTATTTAAACGATTTTTAAGTTTCTCAGTTGACTCAAAAATCACGGTGTATATTTAGTGGGTATACTGATGTGCAGGCCCCACCATGTCTGTGGGCGGGCGGAGCACGCGTGTCGTTGCGCCCGCCCAGCACCTCCTGTACTTACAGCTACATGTGTATTATGTATTCGAGCTTCCTACAGGTGTAGCTATCATCGATATTAAATACCCTAGGTACACTGCCGGATTTAGGGGAGGGCAGCCGGGGCGAAAGCCCCGGGACCTCCACAAACGGGGGGCCCCCACAATAGAGACTTCGGAAAAAAAATCGAAATCATCAACGATTTTTCGGGAAAAAAAGCTCAAAAGGTTCCGTTCGTTAACTCTAACATTTAAATTACAGATAATTCTTGTTTCCGTTTATATTTATATGTGTTTGTTCAATACTAAGGGAATCTACTTGGTTCACAATAAATTATTTATTGTAAAACTCGACTGAAAAAAAAAATGTTTACTTTATTTGGAAAATAATTTGGGGGGCCTCCGCTCCTCTGTTGCCCCGAGGCCTCTGGACCTCTAAATCCGGCCCTGCCTAGGTATGTACAACATCACGAACAAAATCGTGTCTGAAACCTGTCCAAAAGGTACATTGGATGATCCACGGAGCTTCGTAAGATGATCGCGTACACACATTTTGAGCGCACGTGGTGTATCTAGGGTATATTATATAGTTGGTAGTTATAATATATGTAGTGGGTACAGGGCCGGATCTACCATATGGCTTTTTGGGCATCAGCCCAGGGCTCCGTGGATTCAAGTCGCCCTAAAAATACATTGTTGAATATAACTCCATTGATATTACCCCTATAATGGGAGGAGCAAATCAAAGAATTTGCCATTTCTGCACTTTGTAGAAAGGTTTCTTTGTAATTTGTCCATTTATTAACGATTGTATAACACTAAGGCATACCATAATATAATTTAAATTAAAAAGTTTACTATCTAATTTTTTCTATACTTTGAGTAAGGTGGGCCCCTAAGTACTATTAGCCCGGGGGGCCCCCTAAATTCACGGTCCGGTCCTGGTGGGTATACTGACTTGCGGGCGTGGTGGGGGGCGGGCGGGGCGCGGGCGGCGCGGGGGCGGGCGGGGCGCGCGTGTCGTTGCGCCCACCCAGCGCCTCCTGCACTCTTGATTTGGGCGCGCAGCACTGAGTGCCTGACTTTTTGCACTTGAACACGTCCGTCATTTCGGCATTACCTAGAGACATTTTATTATCGAATGAATATTCTTTATTGTGCTATTACAAAAAATACAGGAACGCAAACACAAAATGCGGTCTTATTGCTAAAATAGCAATCTCTACCAGGCAACCTTTGGCTAAATGAAATTATACCATAAGAATAGACTAAATATAAGAATATAAAATATAGTAAGTATATAAGGAAACTCTAAAATACAATACTAAGTGATGAACAGATAAAAAGATCGGACAGAGTCCAGCTTGAGGAAATATTCCTTAATTTTAATAGCAAAGGAGTACCTCGTCTGTGCTGGTTTCATATGCAAAGGTAAAGAGTTCCACAATTTTACAGCTCTTACATAGAATGACTTGACTGCGAAATCAGTGGAGTGGGGTGGGAGATCTAATGATAGGTTATGGGAAGACCGAAGATCACGGACAGGATTAAAAGAGTGAAAAGCCTATCGCTCCATAAAATAACGAGAAGTGTGAGGATGAAAGAGGATAGAATAAAGGAATGATATGAGGAGGATGTGATAGTCTCTTATACGAAAAATAGGTAGCCATTGAAGTATTATTTCTGGATGACACAACAATCATATTCTTTACTACATTTGAAGCTAATTCAGAGACAGGACAAGCTTGGAGCTCCAATACAAGTTTAGCGACTTGTTTGACCGTAAGTTTATAAATAAATGATGATGATAAAAGGAAATGGATATTGTAGTAGGCAATTCAAACGAGTTTTCAGTTAGGATAAGCCAATCTTTCGACAGATTTATCGGGAACCAACATTATTTGACCTAACCCAGCCATACACTACAAAGCAGAAATTTCCCCCGCTAATATATCTTTACAGTTACATGAAATAACTTAAACTTATTGGTCCCGGTACTCACGGAAACAGGTGAAGGACAGATAGGGCACGATGCAGGAGCCGGGGCAGTCGAGGCGCGGGTCTGCGGGTGCCGCCGTCGTTGTCGTGGTGGTAGTAGTAGGCGGCCGCTTGGTGCGCTTGGGTACGCTGGAACACGGACATATGAGCTCATGTCAACAGAATTACACTTATATTATTTGATTTTAAACATTTAACCGCTAGGTGTTTAAACCTAAAGAATATTTTACTACATGTGAATCAGGCAGAAGACGAAACATTACAGGACAGAAAATTACACTTGCAACAATAAGTCTACTGCCCATCACGACCTTTGTATTAAACTGACGGGTCACAGTAAACAGTACATACAAGAATCTACTGTTCAACTCAACATGCAATTTAAAAAATAAAATCGTATTCTAAGAAAAATAGTAGATTCTTGTAGAAGAACAGGAGAAATTTCAGAAAAACAGAGGAGATCGCCTGTAAAATCGGGCGCCCTGCATCCCTGTGGGCAGCCCCTCTAGCATGACCACCAAAACGGGATATGATAAAGCGTTATATCGGCATTAACTGTCAGACTAATGTCAAACTGTAGTCTGACAGTAAACGCCGATATAACGCTTTATCATATCCTGTTTCAGTGGTCATGCTGTACAGTCCGCCCAATTTACTATCCGACCGTTCTCTTGTACAAGGATTTTGATGTATTAACTGTAAGACAGCTTTTTATATTACAGGTGATCCTTAAGCAACACTCACTTTTAAAATTTGATGCCAATGTATTAACTAAACGTAGGAATTTTACTGTTTGTTCATCATTTTTAACCAAACACTGTTTTGGTCAAAAATTCTTTAACTTTTTAGGACCCTTTCTATATAATAAAGTAAATAAAATAAAATCAATTTATCATCTCCCTTTCTATAATGTCAAGTATTCAACAGTTGAATGGCTTAAAACTTTAAGTTATAACGATACTGAATTATTTTTCAAGACAATGTAGATTTACTGTTTATGATTCCATTTCTGGTAATAAATATATTAATTTTATACAACCTCTCCACACACACACACTCATATTCACTATACTCACCATGAGAGGTTTCACTCGCTACACTTAACACTTATTATTTTGTTACTTCTCTGGAAAATATGTCTGTACGCGTTGAGTATATAAAACAGCTTGTATTTTTTATAAAGAGCGCTGCACCTGAGATACAGGTCTCCTAGTTCAGGTGCAGATGTATTTTTATACAGTTGATTGATTCTCCTATTATTGTAAGATTTTATAAAATTCTGTGTACAAAAATAATTTTTTGGTGCCAATAAATTATTATTATTATTATGCTAGAGGGGCTGCCCACGGTGATGATAAAGCGATATATCGGCATTAATTGTCAGACTACTGTCAAACTGTAGTCTGACAGTTAATGCCGATATATCGTTTTATCATATCCCGTTTCGGTGGTCATGCTAGAGGTGCTGGAGTCTTTTGCCTTCCTATCGAGAAGAGTGAAGGACGTACTGTGAGTCGTCGCAGCAGACTCGACCGCTCGCCTTGCACTCGGTGTTGGGAAGCAGCGTGGCGGGGTGCTCGCAGAACGCTACCATGATGGTCAGCATGCAGCGCCCCGGGCAACGACGTAGCGGCGCCTAGTGGAAGAAAGACAATTATCATGTAACATTTACTTACTCGTATACTATCACACATTTTTTTTTTTATATTAAGGTAGGCAAATGACTCTACCCCACCTGATGTTAAGTGGTAATAAAGTCCAAACGCGAAGATAGCTGGTACAGCAGTTATAAACTGCTACACCAATCATCCTCACCTTGCCGGCCTGCAAAAATGCTTCTGGATATACTGTACTTCCAGGGCCCAAAAGTAAAAACTTCACAGTTTTGTTGGTTGTAATTTCGCATTTTTGTTGTTAAAAAGGTTTCTATAACCACATTATTTAAAAAAATGTCACACTTATGCACTGGTAGTTTTTTAGAAAAAAATATTGAAATTTCTACTTTTCTTATCAAGTGGTGATACTTCACACTAGGTTAGGTTAGGTTAGTGTTGTGACCATAACGCGCGAGCCGAGCGAGCAAAGCGAGCGTGCCGCGGCAGCGGCCGGCGAAGCGCCAGAAAAACAAAACTGTTAAAAAGACCTTTTCTACAAAAAAAAAAGTATCACCTTTTGGGCCCTGGAAGTACAGTTTTACCATGCTTCTTCACGCCTCTCTTAAAGGACCCCAGATTATAGGAAGGAGGGAACACTTGCGCGGGTAAAGAATTCCACTTACGAATAGTACGACAAAGAAATGAGTCACCAAATTTCTTTGTTCGTGTAGGAATAGTGGCCACAGTAAGTCGGCATAATTAAGAGTAGAACACGAAAAAAAATGTATTCATGCAATGCTTAAGAATCTCTAGCAAACGGGCTTTAAGAGGATTTGAGCCTGGGGGTCGTAACACAGGTTTTGTAACCTAGCACAATCTCCTGCTCTCTCAAAGAACTGCATTGTTATTACTGTTTTTGTCATTCAATACCCTTTTTATTAATTATAATGTTACTTTGTGACGTTGTGAGAGAAAATAAATAATTCATTCATTCATTCATTCATCATTTGATTGATTCCTTTGAACATGACTATTACATAAATAACAGATTATTTTTTTTATTCCAAAAAAACCTCAACTTTTTTTCGAATGTTATGCTTTAAATAATCTTTAAATATATTTATATATAAATTATACGTGATGTTGCTTTTCCGGAATGGACTCCTAAACTGCTTAACCGAATTTAATTAAATTTGCACACCTTGTGCAGTTTAATTTAACTTGAAAGATAGGATAGACATCTCAATTTATAGTCGCAATATTATTTCAAAGTATTACTTTTGGACGGTACGAAGTTCGCCGAGTCATTAAGTATATGTACATATATATGTTATAGTGGAAACTTTGCTGATGTATGTTTTGTTAATTAGATATAATGATAAATGTTATTTCATTGCTTGTGTGTGTGTCAAAAAAAATTAAGAGAATACTAACAGTGGTCTCAGCATTTAATTTTTGCAACAATATGACAGATGAGCGCTGATATTTTAGCAGATATTTAACACTTTATAACTTATATTTTTTTATTTTTGAAGTTATACTTCTTTAGGCGTGTTATGAAAAAACGATGAGAGTGAAATTTTAAGATGCGCGCGCATCACTGTAACACAAAAATTAACAGCATGAAGTTGGTCGCTTGTGTGTTTACCGCACATTAAGAAAATCTTCCAACAAAATAGAAATAGAATCTCTATTTAGTGGGTGTTAACGACTGCATTGTGAAGGCCTATCAAAAGTATTTATTAATCTGGAACAACGGAACCAAAGCGCGATTCAGGAGACTACAGCGCCATCTCTTGACCATTGGTGTAGTAGAACCAAAAACCACATCTTTATTTTTTGTAATAAAGTAACAGTTATAGGTATTCATATTTATAATATTTATCCACATGTTTCTAGTTTGTATATTCGGAATACGTGTTTGAGTTTCCTACAAGTGCAAATCACATATGTTCTAATAAATTATATTCAGTAGCGATTTTAATTGAATATTTTAATTATTTATTTATTTTTTCTAATTAAAACTGAACTTTATTGACTGTGTCCTTTTCCAGACTTTTTATTAATTTATTGTAATTAATTATTTGCATGCAATTAAAAACTAATTTTAAACGATGCCAAAGAAGGATAACTTCTCACGCGCCTACATAAGTACACGCACCCATTTTTTAAGCATGAAACTGCTCGATGTTTTTTAAAGAAAATATTATTAGAAAATATTCCACGCGGACCAGGGAGCAGACGGGACTCGAACCCGCACCCTTCGCTATCCGGGCGAATGCACTGACCATTATGCTACATCAATATTTGGTAGTTTGCGTTTTTTTAATGTCCTTATTATAAAGTTAGGCGCCATTATGTATATGTCCAAGGTATGCTGCATGCCAAACTACGATAACCAATATTTCAAGAAACCTAGTTTCTCCAATAAGACACATTTTTTTGGAGAACTAGATGAATGTCTCTGCTTGGCGTCGCTGATGTAGAACAGTTACATTATGGCAGTTCGACGATAAGTTGGATTGCATTACACTCAAGGGAAAGTCCACATCGGAACCATCAAACGGTATTATCGGTATTTACTAGGTGTGAGCGTTCTAAAGACGAACCGGTTTCAAGGACCGTTTTGTGTTCCACGACGATAGAACCGTTTTACGTTTCGGATCAAAACAGTCTTCGTCGAACAACTAGTCCTCGGATTGTCTGCACGCCAATATGTACTTTATGATGAAGTAAATACAGTCTATAATAGAACGCAATGATATGAGGCCGTTTCGTTCTATGATAATTAAGCTTTGATTTTACAATAATATAATCTTTATTATTGAACATTTAAAGTCGATTATCGTATAACACTACATTTCTTTCGATGTTTCGTCGTCTCGTTCGCAGCAACGAAACGCACGTTAACAAGATTTCATTTAGTTCAGTTTCGTTGCGTTACATTCCTTCGACCGTCGCGTCGCGTCGCGTGTCGTTTCGTTGCGTCACCCAGCCGCAACCAAAACCAGTTGCGAACGAGAACCGTTTCGAGGACTAGTATTCGTTTAAGAGAAAACGGTTGCGTTTCGTCGTCAAAAAATTTGAGAACGACCCACCGCTAGTATTTACCTTTTAGGCGCTTTGCAGACGACGGGGCGGGGCGGGCCGGTCAATTTCGCCGCGAATGATAGCACAAAGTGAATCCTATACTTCAAACGCACACGGAGGGTAAAAAGACCGCGCCTTGGGTGCCCGGCGGGCAGTGGCGGCGCGGCATGTCCGCGGCTGCCCGCCGTGGATCATACAAACCAGTTTATATGCAGTAACGCAGATGGCGGCGCGAGGCGGCTAGCTCAGTCTGCGCCACGCGCTTTTTAGTGATGGACTATTCACTAGAACGAACGTCCTGAACTGACCGCCTCTGCCCGTCGTGTGCTTTGTGTACGCGGCGCGGGCAGCCGCAGACATCGACGGGCAGACGCGGTTTTTATTGCTTCGCGGACAAAATGCCCGCCCCGCCCCGTCGTCTGCAAAACGCCTTAGATATCCATCTGTCGGACTATAGTTCGACACCGGTGTTTTGACTGTTAGGCAGATGTTTATTCTCAATGTTATTCTGTACACACATCGTCGCCTCCCATATGACCCAGAAACTGCCAGAAGTAAGCGTGGATGTGGTAGGGTTTGCAAAATTAGTAACTATCATTTTAGTACAATCGGACACTCTCATAAACATACACACATGCACATACAGACACACATGTTACACACACATACTCCACCGAATCTACTGACACAAGACAGCATTGCACACGGCACTACTGTTAGTATGGCGTGCCCGCAAAATTGCACAATGAGGGCCATTGTTTTTTGTCTCACCAGATGGCGCCACTGTTGAGTGACGTCCTGAAATGTAGCTTTTAAAGTTAGTAAACACGCTCGTGATATCAAAGTTTACATTTAAATCATATTTTAATACAAAAGAATCGTATTGTAAACATAATCGCCCATGCCACAGTGTTGCGCAGTCCCGTTTTGTTCGGAAAAAAGAAGGACAATATTTTTTCTTAGCTCCGCTTTTAAATAACTGACAATCATTGACACGTAACTCATATTTGCCATAATAAGTGTGATTTATTACCAAATATTCACAACTATTATTTTAATTAGAAAAAAACCGCGTAGTCAACCCGCAAGCTATAACATTTGACATTTCGGAGACCTCACGCAACACAAGCGCCTCTAGCGGCGGTTTCAGACGCGATAGCCCTCATTGATGTAAACTGCTGATGCAGCGGCACGTGGAGCATCGCCGGGCGTGAAGCGATGGAGGTCGTCGAGGCGTCACTTTTGCATCAAACTTCGATCGGGTCACACAATTTTACTGTAATTCTTTTATTCCTATTAAATTAGTTCTAAAGTAATATTGGTTTTTTTGCTTTCTTCGGCTGCAGCTTATATAATTCACACGCAAATACAGATTCACACACAATCTGATATATACAAACACACACATACATACTTTTTATCTTTAAGTAAATGGTAAGATAAGAACTGTAATTTTTATTTATGTATTATGGAGCACGCGTCCCTGTATCTGGAGGTGGGCGCTAATAGCTGTGACACAGTTCTAGAAACTAAGATAGCTATTAACGAACCTAATTATACATGTAACTTTAATTAGTTCCAATAAATATATTTTAATTTTTTCTTATATTTTCATTTTTACATGGTATTTACCCAAGCCATGAGGGCCAGACCTTTATTTCGATTTGATTTACTAATGTTGGAAACTCGTTAATAATATGGACACTGACTTTATGAGTTATCTCATACAGAAGTAATTTTTCAATTTGAGGACTCTGTATACACAGTCAGGTCATAAGTATTGTCACACAGTAAAATTTTCCATCCTCTCTCAAGGTATGGTTGGGAGTTTCTTATTGGGGCTTAACAGTGGTGCATTTTTGTGAGAAAGGTGTAAAAACGAATGCAGTTGTGTATCAAAATACAGTCCTGACGAACCTTGTGGAACCTGTTTCTCATACCATGTTCAATAACAGGCACTGGGTATTCCAACAAGATTCGGCGCCAGCTCATAGAGCGAAGAGCACACAAGACTGGCTGGCGGCGCGTGAAATCGACTTCGTCCGGCACGAAGACTGGCCCTCCTCCAGTCCAGATTTGAGTCCGTTAGATTACAAGATATGGCAACACTTGGAGGAAAAGGCGTGCTCAAAGCCTCATCCCAATTTGGAATCACTCAAGACATCCTTGATTGTAGAATAAACTTTGTTGTCATAAGAATCTATGTGTTGTTAAGTTCATTTTGGTATATAAATGGTTACATAATGAATAAACTTGTTTCAATTATTTTCTATTATACATGTGACAGAATTTATGACCTGACTAGGTATATATATATACATTTATATTTATTAATTATCGCGTAATTTATATATATATATATATACATATATATATTGTCTCATATTGAAGTAATTTTTCAATTTGACGACTCTGGTATATAATACAGGGAGAAAAACACAGCCCTTGCTGAGTTTCTTGCCGGTTCTTCTCAGTACAAGGTCTCCCATAGCTTTTTGACATTCAGAAGTGCTTATAACAGCCTTGACTGTATAAACGATATTGAATTTTGATTTATTAACGATATTTATATTCTCAAGGCAGGCAGATTTAAAATACAATCCAACTTAAATCATCAACAGCCTATTAATGCCCCCACCGCTGGGGCACAGACAATACCCATGGATGGAATAGGGAGATTGGGTCATGACCCACCACGCGGGCCCAGTGCGGATTGGCGGGTGCTAACGACTGCAGATGCAGCCTGGACCAACGGCTTAACGTGCCTTCCGAAGTACGGAGGGACTCGAGATAAAAGATTTTTGGTCACCCATCCAATGACCGACCACTGCGAAAGTTGCTTAACTTCAACGATTGTAGCCGAACGCACTAACCACCTGCGCCATCGAGCTGCCTAACTTAAATCTACATATGCTCAATATTACCGGTGTAGTAGTCCTGACAGTAGTAGGAGCTGGTCGTCGTGTGGTGGTCTCCTGTTTGGCGTCGGTGATGCAGCAGGTGCCGTCAGCAGGACAGGTAGCATCCTCATCCACCTGGTCGCACAGCAGCGCGAACAGTCCGCTGATGCAGTCGCCCTGGCAGCGGCGGCCAGGCTTCCGCGGAGGTACCGTTGTTAGCTGGAAATCGAAGGCAACCGGCATAAATATTGGTTACTATAGCTGACTTAAAAAAGAGATAAATTAAGAAAAAATTACAACGTGTACAACTGTTTTCTAATGAATACTTTGCGTGTAAAGGATCGCGCACATTATGCCGGATCGCAGCACAAAATGCGCTCAAATCGCTCGTACATATTTTATATAAACTATAATTGCCGTTAATTAAATCAAAATCGGAAGATACGGCATTCATGTCTTAAAAGTGCACCGCTTAAATTAGGTGCATGAACACAATTCGCTTTAGTCACAATTTGACATCCAAACACGCCGCCTGTGCACTCAATATACAATATTGCAGCTATTCTGTGTTAAAAAGATAAAACAATGCCTTCGATGCCTTTAAAAATGCATAAATAAGGTAAGTGATACAAATAAGGCCTACCTAATTTCTAAAACTCATATCATGATAAATTATTCGAAGAAGGTGATAAATAAAAGCAAGACATTATTCCTTGGTTCATAAATTTTAAGTAATTAAGAAAACATATTACAATCTATTATCAGAAATCACTTAAAAAGAGCTAATTCTGGAACCTTAGCCTTAGGCCTTTTCAAAACATAGTGACTTAACAAAACCTATGTACTTAAATTATAGGAATATTGTTTGTTTCTTAGGTTTTTTAGGTTTAGGAATATTGTTATTACAGTATAAATTATATTAAAATATGTATATCTGAGCTTTAATCAAGTGTTTCCATGGGATCCTTGAACAACATTCTAATTTATTTTACTAAATATTTTGCTTAAATTGCTAGTCAGATTTGAAGTTGCATTTAATATGCGACTTCTAATCTGATTAACAAGCAATAAAGAATAATATAAAAAAAAACATATCCATACAAACAAAAATTTGCAAATTAACATATCTTCTCGTATATATTATTAAATATTGGAAAATGAATATATTTTGATAGATATATTTGATAAAAATATGGCCTTTTATAAAAGTAGTCTTTAATTCGCATATTCTAAAAACTTAAATTTTAAGTCATAGTCAACTTTTTGATTATATTGTAATCCCTATACATTACATGAAACAAAACTTCAAAGAATAACGTATTAAAATTCGTTAAAGATTACGACAAATTAATAACGCGCTATGAAAAGCTCGTCCTTCACAAAGTACCGCCACTACTGACGCTATGAGCTCGAGCAAACCGCTCGTGCAGTTTGCAGAGTTGTAGAACTGTCATCTATGCGTGTGTAAAGTATTTTTGATGTAAACATATTTAAATAGACTTTTCTGTACTGGCCTTATTTCAGCATAGGCCTTATTTGTATCAATTATCAAATAACAAATTCCAACGGCATCATTCTTCATTCGTAAAACTTAAGGTTTGACTTTATTTGTAGGTGTGCTTGTGTAGGTTTTGCTTATGTAGTTGAATCGGAGCATTCTTTCTTTGACGCAAGTAGGAGCGTACTGTATCTTGCCTCTTTGATTTAATCGAAGACTATAGCGCTTGGTCGGTCGGTCGGTCCGTTGTGTGTAATGTTGCCCTTTCTGCAACGCTGCGCCCTGACAGTGTATTATAGCAATCGGTTTGAAGTGCATACAGCATACGGACTTCGGACAGAACACTTTACCCAAAATCCGTCAATGCGCTGCGACCCGGCCCGTCACTAATGTGCTTTAGTACGCATTTTGTGCTGCGCTGCGGCACGGTAATATTATGCGGCCGTCTCCGCCCCGATGCGGCACACGACATAATGTGCGTAGACCTTAATATAAGCATCGAGCCGTATAATATACAAGTGCTGACTTATACGAAGATTTTCTCAGACCAAATGCGTATGCGTATGTGTGTTGTAGTAGTACAACACACTTACAAAATTACAAAACAATTTCAAATTACGACAAAATACAATTACAAAGCCGCTACGAAATCCTAGCCGGGTTATGCTGCAGCGGCCTGAAAGGTACAACACAACCCAGGGGACCTACATAGGTCGCAATGAGCATTCTTAAAGTGATTCATAATGAAAATCACAAAATGGCCACTTGGTGTACAATTCATATTAGGATTAAATTCATATGCAGCAATTCATTCTTTGAAAATGTGGGATTATTTCGTGTGGAATATTTCATTGAGAAACAAGATACTGACGAGACTTGACGACCACCGTGGCCGAGTGGTTTGTACGCCGGGTTTCATGGTGTCGCCGACTCGAGAGGTCCCGGGTTCGAGTCCCGGTGGGGGCGGATGTTTGTGTGATGAATACGAGCATTTGGACTCCAGTCATGGATGTTTAATATGTTTTTCTATATAAATATACTTATATATGTACAGTATATGTATTCTATCCGTTACCCTAGCATCCCATAACACAAGCCTTACAGTGCTTACTTTGGGTCTAGGCTAATTGGTGTGAGTGTTGGAAATATTTATTTATTTTACTGATTTTCAACTGTGACCTAATCCACGTTTGGTCTCATGTGATGATGTGACAAACATTAAAATAAAGAATTAAAGTCAAACCCACCGCAGTAGTGGGCCTCTTAGTGGCGTGTTTCTTCTCGTTGGGCACGACCAGGTCGGCGGGCGGTTTATCCCCGTATCCGTCCTTGGACACGCAACACAACCGCCCTTCCGTACACAGGTTCTTCGACGTCAGGTACGAGATGCAGTACTGCGTTAGGCTCGTCTCCACGCAAACACCAGGACACGCGATGTTACCTGAAAGGAATTATGTTAGGACAGAGTTTATCATAACACAAGCCTTAGTGCATGTCCACATCTCTACGTCACGACGTCGTCATCGTGGAACGGTGCGATAAGAGCCTGTCCACATCTTTCTCCTGACGTGACGTGTCACGAGGTCTTTAACGTGAAACGGGCATATTTACGACCAGACTCCCTAGCATAAGCACCGGGATATGATAATTACGCTCAATTGTCAAATTACTATGGAGTTTGACAGTGAGATGCGATAAAAAACGTAATATAATGTAAATTGTGATGGTCATGCGAACGGGGGCAGGTTTGCACGTTGTTTCAATGCACCGTGCCGCGTTGCCATACCGTTCCACGTTGACGTGACGTGAAGATGTGGACAGACACTTAGGCAATTTGTCCACCGCAGCCGTCACCGGTACATCAACCAGAATGAGATTTATCTGTTTTAAAATCACTATGACTTGACAGGCTGACGGTGGACAAGCGGCTATAAAAAATGTACATGTCACTACTTTGGCGCCGTCATCTCGTTCTGGTTGACGCCCCGGTGACGGAGGCGTAGAACAAATTACTTACTTTGGAGCTAGGTTAATTGTTGTAAGCATTAGAAATATTTCTTTTGATATTGCTATAACAGAGCGTGTACACATAACGATCAGTTTTACAGGTCTGTTAGCAGTGGCGGACTAACAGGGGGGCGGAAGAGGCGGCCCGCCCCGGGCCTCCGATCTGACCCACGGTACCCTGATCAAATCCTAAACAAGACTTTAAAGAAACCAGGAAAAGTGAAGGTAAAAAGAACGATACCGGGTGAATCAGCTCATGATACTGGATTATCAATTCAAGAAGAAATACGTCGGTCCATGTATGAATGCATAGACCGCTTTATACAAGAATTTTCCAATTGGGCTATTAAACAAATCAAAAATATTTTCCAAATTATTGAAACAAAGTTTATGCTAGAAGCTTCAGATGACGCTCTGGCTGTAGCAGTTGACAATCTGATACAAAGTTATGCTAAAATGGACAAGACTGGTTTTAACGAAATAAACATAAGAATGTACATTTTTATAAAGCCCCCAGGCCTCATTCAGCTTTGCCGCCCCGGGCCTCTGACGTGCTTAGTCCGCCACTGTCTGTTAGTTAATGGCATATGTAGTTGTATGAGCTAGTTGTATAGACGACACTCTTCCGGTTCCAGTAAAATATCCCACACACAACAGAAACACTGATATCCAGTAGCGGCGTTTCCTTTAAAAACGCTCCCGTAAATAAAGCGTGAATATTACACGCAGTAGCGACGGGTCCGTTAAAAGGGATCCCGTAAAAACGGATGTTCTCTACGTGTACGCGCCCTGGTTGATAAAATGCTAAACGTCCATATATGTATAGTGCCCGGCACTTAAGTTGAACTCAAATTTTAGTTTTCAGCGCATGTTTTTTTCACAGAAAAACGACACAAAACTAAAATGATTTGTAACAAAACGGTTGTTGTGTTTCATTAGGTATTGGTGTCAATTCTTGATTTCTGATGATTCTCTAAAGCTAAACTTAAATTTGACAACAGTGTATCCTTGTCATTCTCTACACAGAATGAAAAGGAGAGACTGATGTTAAATTTAGTTTTAAGTTTAAAGAATCATGCCAGAATTGACACCATTGTATTGGTAATAATTCTTTAGTGCTATGATGTTTTTATGTGAAAAAAAATGCGCTGAAAACTAAAATTTGGGTTCAACTTACGTGCCGGGCACGCGGCAAACTTCTCGAGCAAAACCACAGAAAATTAAACTTGTAAGTAAAGTAGTTGTCCATGGTTAGGGCTGCCATCTCTAAAATATGGTAACCAGGATAAGACGCGTGATAGCCCCGGATTTTGGAGTCCAGAACCCGGACAGACCAATAAAAAAATAGTTAAAAATGTCACAAATCAATTTTTTTTATCTTGATCTAGGCAAAAGAGTTAGCGGTCTACCTCATAATAAGTTGTCTCTGCTGCCCATGGACACTTGCAGCAACAAGGGCCACTCATGCGTTGCCGTAAATTTTTAAACCCGGACTACAAATAAAACCCCGCCCGGACGCTCCCCGGACGCCCCGTAAACTAGGACAAATCCGGGGAAACCCGGACGGATGGCAGCCCTATCCATGGTCAATACTCGAAAACTTTCCCAGGGTGTATAGGTATTGTAATACCTCCATAAGATTGAGTATGCACGAAATGGATTATCTATACATTAACTGCTCTATCTCTTAGAGAGTGAATCCTAATTACATAAGAGTGATACCTAATAATTACCACTGTCTTTGTACGCGTCGTGTGGCGCCACTGTTGTGGTGGTGGTCTCTTCTTCGTCTTCGTCATCGGACTCGGTGGTGGTGTAGCGGGTGGTGAAGGGACGCCGTGTCGTTATCATCGTATCGTTCCCTGGAAGAATACCATGATGGAGTTAGATCATCAGACTATTGTTTTTGAAGCGAAACTTCTTTTCGAACGGGGTGTAAATGGAACATTCCTATGGAAAAGATGGAACGAAATGGTAATACGTCACGAGCGTCACACGATTATATATATATATATATATATGTGTGTGTGTGTGTGTGTGTGTGTGTGTGAGTGGGATGCGTGCGCAGCTCTTCCCAACGAGCATGAAAGTTCGAGGGTAACTCGGCCAAGGCTGAAACGCTACGAGCATTACACGCGACAATATATATATTTGTAGTATAGTTAGATATATATCGGCAAATGATTCTGCCTCATCTGATGTTAAATAATGATGGAGTCCAGATGCGAAGATAGCTGGTACAGCAATGTATCCTGCCACACCAGCTCCTCCTCGACTTTGCCTATGTGGAACTAACCGCAAACACAGAATTCAAAAGCTGTTAAAGAAATCACTGAATGCGCTATATTCATTTAAATTCATTCAAGGTTTTATTTCGACTAGCACTTGGACGATATTTGTTTAGCTGTTTTAAAGGTTGGATCCGCGCCTGCCTGAGTGTATGTAAAGGTCTGAACTCAGGGAGGATTGGAATCACTTAGTGCATCATAATAATCAATAATGAATTCGTTCGGGTTTCGACTTGCAAGAAGCAGAAATTATTGGTTAGTCAAATTAGTGGGTTTTGGTTGCTTAATATTTGGCTACATTTTTTGGCTTGGGGGGGGGGGGGGGGTTACCTTCTCTCCCCTTGACGACGCCCTTTCTTTGAGCGATACTGTGGCTACTAACCATCAGGTAGGTCGTACGCTTTCCCACCCACTTAATAAAAAAAATGGTGTTGTGTTGTTTCTGTCGATAAGTAAAGTTCTAGAGGTCCACGGGATAGGGGAAGTTAGCCAATGGCACAAGTGATACTGAGGCGGCCACTAACCATCCTGCAGGCAGAACATAAGCTTGTTTACCACGCACTTTACATAAAAACCAGTTAAGAGAGGTAGGACAGGATTTTCCTCTCTTATTGCAGCGCCCGTCTGGGGAAGTAATCTCCATACCTTACTGAAGACCAAACTAAAATAACACTCTTTTAGCGGTGCTGTGTTTCTGCCGGTGAGTAAGGTCCCAACCTCCGCGGTGTAGGGGAATGGGTCACAGTAGGCAAGCGTCTAAAGGCTATAGTGGTCGCTTACCACCAGGCGAACCATATCCTTGTTTGCCACTCTTTTAACATAAAAAACCTACCTAGTGGTGTTACGAGTCAGGGAACCCAGGACCAAGTACAGACAGACAGACCGACTAATGTACAGACGGACAGACAAACAAATAAGGGACAGACGGACAGACAAGAGGCCTCGAAGAGGCCCAGACTGGACGACACCATCTCACCAAGGGGGCAACATAAGAAGCCTAGATCCGAGGGGCTGCGTCGTACAGACAAAAAATCATTTGCCGATGCGGCTACAGCTGACTTGCTCGTTGTAATAACGGGCAAAAATACAGGACATATCAGCGCTGCCCATGCTGGGGTTGTCCTTAAGGCTCTGGAGGACGCCGTTGTAGAGGAACTCCTTATGGCAGGACCTTCAACGGACGAAGGCCCGAACCTTAAGGGTAAACCCATCATTGGTGGTGGAGCTCTGAGCCTCTGGTGTGAGACGCCCCGCACGCTGGAGTGGGTCAAGAAGACCGTAGCCGGACTAAAGGTCCCGGGGTATGAAGACGAGTTGATAGTGCAGCGCCAAATTGATAGGCCGAAGAGGGTGGTGTGTGGATTACTTGTCCCGGGCACGAGGGAACCACACACGATAGCCAAGCTGCTGCGCTATCAAAATAAACAGGCAGACGTAGACCGATGGCTATTACACAAGGCCATCGCAGGAGACGACAACACGTTCCTGGTGTTCAGCACCACCAGGGACGTCGCAGAGAAACTGCTTGCGAGAGGCAGGAGACTGTGCTACCTGATGGGCTCGGTGTATGTAAGGTTCAGGAACCAGGGTGGTCAATACCTGGACAGCCTGCCGCCTTTAGAGCAACCAACATCTGCTCCGTCGCCGGGCTCATCGGGGGGCATAGCAACTCCAAAGCCAGACCAAAAGCAGGATTCGACAACTCCGGCTCCGGCGGATCCCACTTTGGGTGAGCAAGGAGCAGCGGACATGATAGACGAATGGGCTGACAAGCTGGGTGGAATCGACATCGGGCAAGAGGTGGATGTCGATGTTTTGCTTGCGTCCGATGGCGCCTCCACCGAGTAAAGTCAAGCTCATTCAGACAAACCTCCAGCACAGTCGCACCGCAACGGCTCAACTCAGGAAGTGGCTGGAGGAAAACAATGACGGGGCTATTGCTCTGGTCCAGGAGCCGTGGATCAGATCCAACACCATATGTGGCCTCAACAACACCGGTGGTAAGAATTTTTACAACCCAGGTAACCGCTCACCGCGGACCTGCATAGTATGTTCAAAACACCTACAGGCAAAAATAATGACACAATTTTGTTCTAGCGACATAACAACAATCCAAATTATACAACAGCAAAATCCAAGTGTACCTGTCCTGGTAGTTGCCTCTGCCTACATGCCTGAAGGAGAGGAAGCTCCGTCAGGGGAACTGGCTGAGCTGGTGAGACACTGCGAACAAACAGACAAGGCGCTGATCATCGGCACCGACTCCAACGCCCACCATCAATTGTGGGGTATGACGAAAAGCAACAAACGAGGTGAGGAATTAGTAGATTATCTATTTACCACTAACCTTAATATAATAAACACAGGATCTGAACCTACTTTCGTAACAAGAAGGGGCAGATCCATCATCGACCTTACACTAGCATCAAGAAGAGCAGCGGATCTGATCTCTGACTGGCACGTTTCCCCAGAGGCATCCTGCTCTGACCATAGGTGGATTAGGTTCAACATCGCGGTACAGCGTGTCACCCAGCCACCTAGACGCATACCTAGCAAAACAAACAGAAGCCAGTATCGCAGACAGGTAACTCGGTCACTGCGACATCTGCAGTCTGGTAGTTTAGACGAAACTTATAAGATAGACGAAACAGCTGAGGTATTAACAAGAGTTATAATCTCAAGCTATCAGACAGCCTGTCCTCTTAGTACACCATCATCCAACTCGGGTGCCAGCCAGTCTTGGTGGGGTCCCGAGCTGGAAAAACTGAGGAAAAAGGTAAGAAGACTTTTTAACAGGGCCATGAATACATGTGACGACCAGGACTGGGATGCGTACAAAGATGCCAAGGCACTTTACAAGTGACGCATCCGACATTGGAGCAATGGGTCTTGGAGAAAATTTTGTTCAGATATAGACTCATGCACAAAGGCAAATAAGGTAAGGAAACTGCTATCTAAAGATAGGCAGCAAGACCTAGCACAGCTCCGGAAGGCTGATGGCTCCCTCACAGAAACAACTGAGGAGGCACAGAGGGTACTACTTGAAACCCACTTTCCGGGCTGCATCATACACACGACACATACTTGGAATGACACTAGCTGGACCCCCACGGAACAATCCTGGAACACTGCATTGAAGACAGTGTCTACAGATAAGTTAAGGTGGGCCATTAACAGCTTCCAGCCATTCAAGGCAGCCGGACCAGATGGCATCTTTCGGCGCTGCTTCAATGGGCAGGTGAAGCACTAATCCTTATCCTGGTGCCCCTCCTGAGAGCGTGTCTTGCATTTAGATACACCCCGAAGCTCTGGAGGGAGGTCAAGGTAATCTTCATACCAAAACCGGGTAAGGCAGACTACAACGAGGCGAAATCTTTCGGACCAATAAGTCTCTGATCATTTCTGCTAAAGACCCTGGAAAGACTGTGCGACAGAGAGCTGAGAGACAACCAACTAGTCAATGTTCCACTACATCCGAACCAACACGCCTATAGTCCAGGCAAATCGACAGAATCTGCACTACATGCAGTCGTAAGTAAAATAGAGGATAGTCTCAGACGGAAAGAGCTATGTCTGGGCACCTTTATAGACATAGAAGGCGCGTTTGACAAAACAAGCTTCGCCAGCATAGTAGACGCACTTGGCAAACACGGAGTCGATGAGACCATTATACACTGGGTAAGTAACATGCTCCGTAACAGACTAATCAGACTACAAGACGACAACCATCTCAGAGCATTGGCAACTAAAGGATGCCCTTAAGGAGGAGTACTGTCGCCCCTGCTATGGAATGTAGTTGTAAACGACTTAATTACCAAACTAAACAACCTTCACTACCACACGGTGGGCTACGCGGACGACCTTGCAATCATAATTCCAGGTAAGTTTGCGAGCACCGCCTGTGATGTTATGCGAGGGGCAATGAAGGTTGTTGAAAAATGGTGTGACGACTACGGCTTTAAGGTGAACCCAGTGAAGACGGAATTGGTCATGTTCACGAATAAAAGATCATTAGGCGACTATCGGCTACCGAAACTATTTAACACGACACTGAGGCTCTCCAACGAGGTAAAGTATCTAGGAATAACCCTAGACTCCAAACTGAACTGGGGATCCCACATAGACAAAACTACAACGAAGACTAACATCATTTTCTGGCAATGTCGCAAAATGATTAGCAAAACTTGGGGACTATCACCGCTCATTGTTAAGTGGCTATACACGACCATAATTAGGCCCATCATCAGCTATGCAGCAGTAGTATGGTGGACCAAGACAATCCAGGTAACGACAATTAATAAGTTAAGACGTCTCCAGAGGCGGGCATGCTGTGCAATCACCGGCTGCATGAAAACCACTCCCACATCAGCACTGGAGACAATACTTAACGTGAGACCACTCCACTTGTTTATACAACAGGAAGCTGCATGTACAGCCACGCGCCTAAGCATGCTGGGGCATTGGAGAGACAACAACTCCCCGCACACCAGCATCTTGGCAGACATACACAGGCACTTTCCGTACTTTGCAGCAGTAAACGACCTTATTCCTAAGACGTACGTATTTGACAAAAAATACAAAATTCAACTTTATGAAGACACCCCGGACCGTTGTCTGCATAAGGAGTTGAGGGTCTACACAGACGGTTCAAAAACCAACTGTAGTACGGGCTCGGGTGTCTTCTCCGAAGACCTGAATATACACATCTCGACAGCTTTGGGTGCCTATAACACGGTCTTCCAGGCAGAGTGTGTGGGCATCATCAGAGCTGCTGAGGCGATAGAATGTCGCGGGGTAAGAGGTAAACACATTAGTATCCTCTCTGACAGCGCTTCTGTCCTACAGGCACTGGACAACAATATAATGACATCAGGCTTAATTTACGAATGCCACAGTAAGTTGACTAATATTGCTAACGACAATAGATTGACCCTACAGTGGATTAAAGGACACAGCGGCTCAAGGGGTAACGATGCGGCGGACTGCTTAGCCAGGGAGGGGTCTAGCAGGACGGCCATTGGTCCGGAGCCAATTATACCCATATCCTATCGGCAGCTGCGAACCTGGATAAGGGAGCGCTCTCAACGACAACACGACGATTACTGGTCAAAACTCACGGACTGCAGGCAAGCCAGGGAAGCCGTTCCTAAGGTAAACCTGCAGCTAACGCGTAAGTTAATCAGACTACCTAGACAAGCCCTGAAACAAATCGTGGGTATACTCACGGGTCACGGCTACTTTAACAAACACCTTTGTAATATAGGTATTTCTGACAGCCCTCTGTGCAGAGCCTGCCTGGAGGCGGATGAGACGAGCGCCCATGTCCTACTGGAGTGCACGGGCGTTGCAAGACAAAGGACTTCTCTAATGGGAAGCCCGAAGACAATAGTAGAGGCCTGCAGCAACATTCGGGGACTGCTGAGCTTTCTGGAGGAGCTGGGATGGCAGGACTGATGCCAATCCCCATGCAAAATAGGCACTAGGTGTCGACTTGCGGAAACAGCCCGCTGTACTACTAAGACTAAGACCTACCTAGTGGTTCATCGAAGCAGCACTTCATGCTGGGCTTGGGGCACTCGACCTCCTCCAGCACGTTGGAGCAGATGAGGGAGGCGAGCGCGTGCATACACACCCCGGGGCAGTTCTTCGCGTCCACCTGCGTGTCCAGCGTGTCCAGGAGACCTGCAAACATATACGTAAGGTGATGTTTAATAGCTTATTCATATGTACAGAACAAATAGAAATAGGAAATACAAAGATAAAGAAAAGACCTACACGAACAAAGAAATTTGGTGACTAATGAGTCACAAATTTTCTTCCACTTACGAATAGTACGACAAAAAAATGTCTTTGTCGTACTATTCGTAAGTGGAATTCTTTGCCCGCGCACGTGTTCCCTCCTTCCTACAATCTATGGTCCTTTAAGACGTGTAGAAGCATTTTTGCAGGCCGGCAAGGTGAGAATGGTTGGTGTAGCAGTTTATATCTACTGTACCAGCTATCTTCGCGTTTGGACTTTATTACCACTTAACATCAGGTGGGGTAGAGTCATTTGCCAGCATGGTTATAAAAAAAAGAAGCCAATAAATTGCACTACAAATTTCCTTTAGGCCTGCCACAAAACCACTTAGATTTAATCCCCTTTAATGCGTTCCATCGGCGGCATCTTCAAACTTTAGACAGAATTTATATCTCTTGCGAGGAAGTACAGTAAGCTGGTATTGGTTTGTTTTACACTAGCGTTCTATCAGCGAGGCGGGTGTTGAGCACTGCATTTTTTGACTAACAGGCACAAATGTACAAATGCAAATTTTTGGTAATTATTATGTAAAAGTGTGCATAACCTTGATATAATGCGAAGTGATGTTATTGGTGATATTAGTAATTGACTTTTTGTTGTTATTTAAAAATTTAATCTTTTCATTAATAGCTGTTGGTTTTCTTAAAGTAGATTTACGTAAAACTAGTTTTTTACGGGTTAATGCACGAAACTGAGAAGAACCGGCGAAACAAACTCAAGAGAGGCTTTCTATCTCCTTCTTATCTTGAGTTTGTTTCGCCGGTTCTTCTCAGGAAGGTCTCCCAATTTTGGAACCGGTGGTAGTTTACGGTAGTTAGGGTCAAATAAATAAACTCAAAATTACAAAAAGAATTTTAAATAAAGTACTTTATTAACTAAATCAAGTAATAAATTCATACATAGACAATAAAAATTTTAAAAATCGAACAATGAAATAACCGAACGCTCTATAAAAGTCTTTCGAAGGTAGCTCGACAAAATTAAATAAAATTTGATTCTGACGACGTAGCCTATAAAGGCAACGAAACGTCAATAAATAAATAAAGTTTCGTGCATTAAACCGTAAAAAACTAGTTTTATTTAATGAGTGATATGCGTGAAAACCTAAGAAACAAATAGATTTACGTATCTACGCGTTTACGTACGCGTGAATGAGAATAAAAAAAAATGCTCGCTTTTAGCTTTTAGGTACGCTGTAATAAAAAGTGATAACTCAAAAAATCGTAGTTTCTGATTTTGGGTGTTTTTTTTATAGTAAGCAAATTGTCATTTCGCACTTGCAAACTATTCGAATTCAATAATGGTTCGTGCTATGTGCCACTTTTCGGGGATATCGACATTTTTCTCATTATGACTATTGTAATCGTATTTTCCGAATACAAAGACTGTTGTGCGAATTTTAAGATAATAACGGTGTACAAAGATTACTAAAAATATATGCTATGCGCATCATCCAGAATACGAGTACTGTCAAATATTAACTGCTATGTCTTAAAGAAATCATCATCATCATCATCAGCCTATTAATGACCCCACTGCTGGGGCACAGGCCTTCCCTATGAATGGAATAGGGAGATTGGGCCATGACCCACCACGCGGGCCCAGTGCGGATTGGCGGGTGCTAATGACTGCAGATGCAGCCGGGACCAACGGCTTAATGTGCCTTCCGAAGCATGGAGGAGTTCGAGATAGTAAATGTTTGGTCACCCATCCAATGACCGACCACTGCGAAAGTTATTTAACTTCAACGATCGCAGACGAACGCACTAACCACTTGCGCCATCGAGCTCCTCTTACTTTGTTCACTTTCATTCATTCTCGATATAGAATACACTAACACTTTAATGATAATTTCACAGTTCTCTTATTCTATTATTTAAATTAAACGTACTACTCATTAGCCATAGTCCTAATTGAGCGAAACAGTCCTCTTGGTGTCCCCATTATATCTATGGGTGTCCCAGTGACCGCAGCAATCGTGTCAGTCAGACAAGGCAGCCGCAAGGGCAGCCAATGGACGGGCGCGGGCGTGCAGTTTGCGCGGGAATGCGGACGACCAACGGAGCGAATGCGCGCACGCATATAAATGCGAATCGCCAGACCCAACAGCACTTAATAAAGTAAGACCCATTTTTTAATTACCCTTTAACGCTTCAGATACTACATTTTGTAAACCACTACGATGTTCTATTACAAAATTATAGGGAGATAATCTACAATCCCAACGCGCCAAGCGACCGGTTGGATTTTTAAGCTTCAGAAACCATTTCATACTAGCATGAACGGTAATAACACGGAATGGTACGGCCAGAGTGCACTCAGATTCAGACTCAGAAAACAAGCGAGAGAAATATACAGTGTAGTTTAAGCAGGTTGCCTGCGGCGACTATGGCCACCCTGCTTTAACTACACTGTTTATTTCTCGCGCTTGTTTTCTAAGTCTGAATCTGAATCTGAGTGCACTCTGGCCGTACCCGAATGGCCTATTACTCTACAGATAGGGACGGAAATGCTCGACTACATCTACTACCAGTGTTTCCACTTTAATGATTTCCTTTCCCCACGCCTCAATTCAGATTTCCCCTACTTAGGACATTTTTCCCCTCAAAAATTATTCTGCTGTAGATTTGGCACTAGTGTTAGTAACTAAATAAAAAAAAAGGCCTTAATCTATCTTATTATATAACAGATAAATAAAATATATAAAATCTACACGTTTTGCCACAGTTTATTTTATACGGCAACCCTAGTCCACGGTATAGTCCATAAAAAATTTGTTCCGTGCCGCATTATTTTAGGCTAGGCTTTACCCATAATTTCCCCTTTTCATGTCTTTCCCCTTTTTCTTCCCCTCTGGACCCTAATTTCCCCTTAAAAGGGGAATTTCCCCTCATTGTGGAAACACTGTCTACTACAGCTAAAGCCTCACGCTCGGTAGCAGAGTAATTTCGCTCGGTGGGGGTAAGTGAGCGAGTATTTAGATTATCTTTGAATTAAGAGCGGACGCTAGCTGAGAGACATTAGAGTATTTGAAAAAACTATTGCTGTCACGCATAGGAAAATACCGTGCGATAGGGACAACAGTAGATAACTCTGAAATTTGCGTCAAAAAATTGCAAAATTCTAGGTTTCGCTCTCGACGATTTCGCAATTTAAACATTCATCTAAAAGAAAATTCACTCATAGAATGATAATTAGTTATTCTACGCCTGTATGTTTTACTTTTTTTTGGAAATTCTTATTACTTCTCAGCACTAGACGTCTTTAGTGGTGATAAAAACTTGTTAATTTTTGGCATATTCGAGGGCTTTTAGTTTCTTTGAAACATAAGCTATCGAAAAACGGAAGACGTAGAATAAGTAAAATTATATTTTATGTATGAAAATCTATATTTAGTGATAGAAATCAAGCAGGAATCTGGCGAGAACGTTTGCTTGGAAAAAACATTATCCGCCTCCCTTTTAATGATTACGCTTTGATAATTATTAAAATGGTAGGTGGCTTGTAATAAAACAATAAGGGGCTCCAACCATTTCCAAGCGCGATCGAAAATCGACAAGAAATAACAGGAGACGAGACTATTCTTAAAATTTGATTTTAGTTACGACTCTCTGCCTTAGACACTTGACTGAGAAATTAAAAAAAAATTGAACCTACTCTATTTATTCCACTATTTAACTTTCGAAATCCTTATAAGTTTATCGACACTGTAATATAAAATTCAAACTAGTTTTTTGACAGGCAAAGCACGTCGCGGTATGAATATTATAACTTTTACAGTTATGTATCTTTTAAAATGTATAGTCACTCATAACAAAATGGAGAGTCATAACGAAATCTTTGTTATCTCGAGATCGCTGATGTTGTGGTTTTTCTGAAGAAAAGACTTTAAACAACTGCTAAATCCGTTTAGGGTACTTAATTCCATTATATGTAATCGAATTTCGGGGTAATTTGTAGGGGAGGGGGAGGGGGGGCTCCCCCCGACCTCCCCGCCATAAAAGATTTTTGGCGGAAATGCAGTTTTTTTTTTTACCTAACCTAAAAATTCATTAAATCTGTTAAATGTAGTGGAATTTCAGGGGGATAGGTATAAGGGAAGACCCCGCAGAGGGAAGGGTAACCCCCCCCCCCCTCCCGGCGCTTTTTTTACAGAAATGATAACTATAAAAAATTAGAGGGGTTTTAACTGTACTTCCAGGGCCTAGATTTTTTTGTAGAAAAAGTCTCTATTAACGAATTTTTCTTTCTGGCGCTTCGCCGGCCGCTGCCGCGGCACGCTCGCTTCGCTCGCTCGGCTCGCGCGTTAAGGTCACAACACTAACCTAACCTAACCTAGTGTGAAGTATCACGACACAAGCGGCTCATTAGAGTCCAAAACTCGCACTACACTCGACTCTTCAGGCGAAGGAACAGCAGAACTCGACGCCGAAGGCTTTGAGGATGCCATGGTAGTCAGACGATATTAATATCAACAGGAGTACGAAAAAGCTCTCAATTGCGACGAACACAAACACTGACTGACAGATCTCATTAATGGCGGTAAATTGTCACATTTTGACAATAGTACCAACATAATAAACTTATATTTACCATAGACAACGAGAAACATGTTATTTTTGCATAAAAAAATGGCAGCACTGATCAAAATTGCTGTCAAAATTGACTCTTAACCTACAAAAACATTAATTTTCAATATTTTTTTTCTCGAGTTCTATTCGTTTCCGCCTAAAAAGATTTCGTGTACGTGTTTTTAATAGTTAATAGTTTGCGTGACAAAAATTTCAGCTTGCAACTCAATTACATATAATGGAAAGCTGAGCCCCGTTTAGTATGACGTACGTAGTACGTTTAGAAAAATATGTTTAAACAAATATTTTTA